TGCAGTGTGTCCGAACAGCTTCAGTCTTCAAATGCCCTCTCGAAATCTGACCTTTATTAGAAAATGACATAAATATTGATTTTTGGTAATGCATCTTTGTATAATTTGCAAACAAATCTAAGAAATTAATCGAACAGGTAAAAAGCACTTCCAGATTTTAAATCGAGGATACCTTTATCACGTGCTTTTATATGCAACTTCCTAATTCTTTAATGCGTCTTCTTGGAAATATCAAGAATGTTTAGGATTGAAAAACGAGGATTATTGGATTTATATGGATGTCACTAAGGATGGTGAAGCCCTGTTTACACACTACTAAAGCATATGATGTTTTATTAATTTTATCGCCTACGAAGGAACATGAACGTCTCATCACTGCTTCAATCCATGACGTCATTAATGTATTCACTGGAAATTGTTTTCTTAAGTCAAATTTGTGCCGATTTGACGTAAAGTCGCAGTGTTATTTAATTGGAGAACCGTTGTTCTATTATCTTTTTTAGTTAAACTTAACGCTAACGAAACGACGGTTTTTAAACTCAAATAATGTGACTTTAAGATAAATTCCCACGGATTCAACCCATGAAAACCAAATTTTTTCGACCAAAAACGACGCTTTAAGTCAAAATAATATCTCAAGTAACATTATTTCCAGTGAAAATCTCCTATGTGCAGGGCCGGATATTCCTACTTGCCGCCCATGGGCCGCCTGTATTTTGCCGCCCGGGCCCCCTTCTCATTCGTTTTGAGACATCAATAAAAACCATCAAGTGAACGTGCTAGCGGGGGAGGGGCGCAAAGGACGCGTTTACTCGTGTTGAACACATTTTTTGGGAAAATCCTGTCAACACTACTAGCAAAAGGTCACGGAACTTTGCGCGAAAGTCAAGTTTCGTAAACCTATCTCTAATGGACAAGGCCTTCCATTCCTAAGAAATGAACGAAAATATTATGAAAGAACAAACACAAAATTTGGTTAAATGATTTTAAGTTCCGCCGCTGCGCCGACCGCACCGTGTCGTGTTTGGCGCAATGCGTGAAGTATTCTCGCAGTCTTGTAGGCGCTGTGCGTTTCATGCTGACCGCACAGTGTTTGGCGCAATGCGTGAAGTATTCATGCATTCTTGTAGGCGCTATCCATTTCACGCTGACCACAATAACCGCACTGTGTTTGATGCAATGCGTGAAGTATTCGTGCAGTCTTGTAGGCGCTAATATGTGTTACATACCGACCGCCGCGCCGAGGGCTTCTCCTTTTCATCTCAAGTCCTCGTCATCAATTCTCCCTATGTCGCGCCGTTCCAGGCCAAATTGAGTGTTTGGTTTCTCTCTTAGCTCGACTAATTAAAAGTGCTGTCTCTTGTATCACTGGAAGACGACAAAATTAGAAATTACTATACTCTCAGGAAATGAGAGATTTTGTAGCCTTTTCTCGTTTGTAATTTTTTTTTCTAAATCCGATTTTTTTCATACCTATATTTAAAAAAATTGCAAAGTTTGCCGCCCCCTAGATTTGCCGCCATGGGCCAAGGCCCATGTGGCCACCCCCTTAATCCGGCCCTGTCTATGTAGAACTGCATACCGTAAACAATGGCATAGTGCATTATTGGTAGCTTAAGAAACACTCGATGAGTTATAATTTATGGCTTTCGTTTTCCATCTGCTTCAAAACGTATCAATTAGTACTAACAGGAGCCGGAGGGAAGCATCCTTTTTAATGATAATTCCCGAAACTGGCCGGTGTTTTTCTTGGCACGGGTCGCTTTGTCATCGCGCCGAGGGGCAGCGCTATTTCGAGGCGTTTCGGCGTTATGATTAACGAGGAATTTCCGCAAAAGGACCTCGGTTCTCATTAGGAACTACGAACGAGCAGGAACATTGGTTCCGGTTTGTTCCTAAGTGCGGTAAAAGTGTCCTTACTTGATGTGTGTCAGCACAGAAAATTGCGATACTTATTCTATGAAAATTGGCAACACTAGTGTCTTATAGAATTACATTAAAGGGTACAAAAACAATGATTCGAGGGTGAGTTTGCGAATATTGAGGGTTATAGAACAATACCGCCTAACTCACAATTTTGGCAAAAATGAGTTAACAACTTTGCCGTATGTCCTGCAGTACCTATTAAACATTCAAGCTGATGATATAACTTGTCCCCCATTCTACACAGAAAAAAATAGATGGTGCTGACGACAGAACTTTTTGTTCACACGGCTCCCGCAGTTTCTTTGTTACAGTCACTGAAGCTTCCGTTATGAGGACAGAATACTCTGTTCCCACGACCGAAGTTCTGTCCTCACAACAGAAAAATTCTGTAAGTGTAACAAAGAAACTGCGGGAGCCGTGTGAACAAAAGGTTCTGTCGTCAGCACCATCTATTTTTTTCCGTGTATAGGAGAGTGCTGTAATGAGACTTACTGTAACGTATGAAAAAATTTCATACCTGTGACCTCAAATTACAAATATGGCGAAATTTTTTCTTCGTCTTGCAGAATGTTCAGTTTAAAGATAAGCGATAAAAATCGAAATATTCTTTTCAAGGGAGGAGAGAAGTTTCACCAAAATTGTTATATGAAAGGAGAAAATGATCTGCCGTAAGAAAAATCAGGAAAAATGTTCTTTATATGATAATCCGATGCTTATCATACACAATGCTAACGGCACACCTTTTTTGGTAAAAACCATAAAAAGGTAAAAAAAAAGCATACCAAACGGTCCGTTTCATAAACACGGTTTCCGATCTGAAAAGTTAAGTCAATTTTATCAGAAAATGACCGAATTGACTGATTTTGAACAATCAGCCGTTTGCCTGCTTCATTTACCTCTCTCTTCTTCCCACGGCTAAAACGGTGAACTTATTTCCCTCAGTAACAAATTGTTTGGACGTGTATTAGGTAAGAACGGCCGGATGGGTGCTGGCGAAGAGGCGAAAGTTCAACGAATGAATAAATTATCGCATCGATGATAACGGCAAAGCGGAATTTTAAGTGAATAACCTGTTCTACGAATCGCAATCGTCAAAGGCTGTTCACGAGAATGATAATAATGCATTTTCAGGAACTTGGATCAGGCCGATTCAAATAAAATATGTTAGAAGTGGACAATTCAGGAAAGGCTTGGTACGTCAATGTCTAAAATTCTACAAGGAGATGAAAAAAGTTCCAATAAAACTACTTCACATGTCAGAATTTCGAATATTTTATAGACATTGACCTTCCGTTCGACTTCCATAGTGACAAACATGTTATTTTAATAAACGTTTATGCCACATATACCTCAAGATTATAAATGTATCTTCTTGAATGAAGTTATAATTTGGGTCTTAAAAATATTTTTATCACCAAAAGTAATGGAAAAAAATTCAACACCAAAGCTGAAGAAATAAACCGCCACTCGTCATTTAGAAGTCTCCTAATGAAATGGTTTACGTAAAGATACGCTTAGAAATATTTTGGAAATATTCAGATAATCCCAGTAGAAATTAGACGCGTTGTAAAAATACAATGTTACAATTATTTTTTTGTTGCCAAACGTTTACCATTTCAAACTTTCGAATCAAAATTAGTGACAAAATACTTGATATAATGAGTGTCTCTCAGACACAGGTGTACACTAAATTTGTGTTGATAAACGTAGGAATTCAGCTTAAAAAAGCTCTGGTTTTATTTTAGTTTTTTATGCTATTTATATCTTATTGTGCTATCCTGGCATCCCTTACTGTTATGTTTTATTGATTTCCTTTTGCTCTGAGGAATAGGTTAAAAAGAACTTTCTTCTAAATAAACGAAAAAGTGGAAAAGGAACGTCCCTCAGTTTTGACTTAAAAAAGGAAAAATGAAATTGAAATAGAAAAAAATTATTTACTGATTTGCTGATACTGTAAAATAAAAATGCCTCGTGGCGATTGCACAGTAGACATAATCAGTCATGAGTTAGCCGTTAGAGATAATGAGAGTCACCCATTTATTTTTCATTTCTGACCCTTTGAAGAATAAATAAAGGAAATAAGATAAGAATGACATTTGAATCCAAACAGTCTGCTCTGTGCTTGTAAGCTACGAGAGGATGCAGTTCTAAGAAATGATTGCGTTGGTTTACTGTGAAGCTAAAGACTCCCAGCAGAACGATAAGATTTCAATACACCGCATAACTCAACAACCCTATGCAGTATGAAGAGGAGTTACTGCATTACTTTTGTGATATATTAAAATTTAAGCCAATCTTGCCCTCTCACATTTAGTAATACCAAAATACGTAAGGGATTTGGGAGTAAAAGGAGCCAGAAAGTAAATGTGTAGTCATGGAAATGGGCAAACGAAATAAATTGGATGGATTTTTTCGGGACGTGCTGATTCCGACGACTGATGTGTCTTGGTTCCTCTCTGCTAAACACGGTCAAATTTTCGACTAATTGGTTTCTCGGGCAGCACGTCCTCTAGCTCTGTATTGCGGGTGCTTCGACAGTAACCACTGAGGTTCCGTAAGAAAATGTTCTGCTTTCTGTTCAGCTGAATATAAAGACTCGAAAGCTTCTATTTTTTTTCTCAGTAGGTCGATGCATTTTTGAAAATCATACAAAATCACCAATCTGCCTGTTAATATTGCTATACGTGTAGTGCTATAGTGAGGAGATAAGACCAAATAAAAATAAAAAATCGAAAATGAAAAAAAAAGAATTTTACGGTACCAAAAACACAAAATATTGATTTGCTGAATCCCAGAATTTTTGGCACGGAGAGAATGGACGCAAGGTCTAAGTATCAGACCTGCACCGAAAAAATGCTGGAGTTAAAAATCTGCGCTCCTTGTCTCTTTGACGCGGGAAATGTTTTGCCCCAACTACGATCAGACTGCAGGTCTCAAAATCTGAATTGCAGTCATGTGGTCCTCAGCCGGTAGCCGGCATCGCAGTATCTCCCTCCTCCACCACCGTGATGGGGGGGAGGGGGGGGGTTGCCCCGCGCTGCGTACTCTGCGATGCCCCGGTGTGAGTCACAGTTGCGTTACGGGCCCCGAAGACAGCATCGCGTAGCTTATTTTCCCGCGCTAAAATCAAAGTTACGTGTTTTTTCCCACCGCAATCGTTATTTTTCTTCACCCATATCGGTTTTTTTTTCGCTATCTACAGTGAATTTTAAAATTGCAATTTGAATGGTTTTGGATGTGTTTTTGTGCGTTTTCCTCCCTAAATTCCAAATTGAATTTTCAACAACTAGCTGGCAATATTGATTGCGCCTTGCACAGAATTCCATTCTTGCTTTTAATTCTTCATTTTGTTCAGAAAACGCTTTTTTGAGAGACCTTTCGACATTTCGGCAACTTAAAATGATATGAAAGAAAGCAGAGGTACCGTAATTTTCTTCCTGAAGCTTTGAAATCCTGTGATACCGAGTTTAATCTGCTCGCAAACTCAGGATTGTCACGCCAACGATACAGTGAGATCAATTGATCTAGTGACGCGTCGATCATTAATTTTAACCGCCTATTTTTCTCGCGCTGACCTTTGGGCTCAATCAGTTCTAAGAACAGTGCGTGTGTGATATGGCAGGCTAGACAAACCGGGTCCAAATATGTCGAGATTCTCAAGCTCGAGTGCCGTCTTTTCTTGAAATAAAATTGTGTATTCGTGTCTGTGGATCCAGTTTACCGTCAATATTGTTTTACAATTCATACATTTTAGACCCTTCGATTAATGCCCCATAATACTTACCACCAATCACCAGTTCAAACATAAAAGCCCTCGATCTAAAGTTTGTTGTAAGTGAATCTGTTCCATACAAGGCCTTTACATTTTCCTTTAACGGTAACTTGAGATTGGTGAGATATCGGATTGATTCGGGGTTTTTTCGTCGATTTGTAAGTGAAACAGTGTTTACGTTCTACTACGGCGGCTCCGTAAGTCTTACGGTTACGGTTTTTACGGTCTGGTACGTCCCGTGTGTTTACACCCGTAAGTGCCCATGCGGTGAGCCAGTGTTGGCGTCAATTTAAAGTGCCCCCTCCCCCCTTACGACTTATCGCCGGAATCAAAATGAGTGCATCAATTCGCTTCGTGTGTGTGGCCTTGTGCTTAGTGTCAGTGCACATCTCAGGGATAAACAGTGAGAGGAGCTTGTGTGACGTCTGTGCTTGCTCCCCCAACAGCGATGAGCCCATCAGGATCTCGTGCGACTGCCAGAAATCGAAGGTGCGTCTGGAATCCTTAATGTTTTGATTTCTTAGAGGTGCATGTCTAGCGTATGGTTTCGTGATTCATACCAATATACTTTTTTTTTAAAAAAAAAAATAATGCATTGAAACATTAGAAGTATACCTAGATCGTTTTTCAGTAGGAATCTTGGCAGTGGCACGGAGTGCTTTGCGATATATCGATTTATCTGTCATCTAAACCCATGGAAAAGGATCGATAAACAGGGTGTTTGCAACGAACACATTATTTAATGATCGATTCTTTACCATAGCCTTGAATGGGGAAATATCGATCATTCAGGCCTCGCCACTGATCTTGGCCTCCACTACCTAATCCAAAAGAAGGAGGATATTTTCAGGAGGAAGGATATGGAAAAAGAATATTTAGGATGTATAGAAAAAGAATATTTAGGATGTGTTTTCCACGAGACACCTTGAAAAAGTAACCCATCTTAATGGCACTTTAAAGTTACCTTCAAATTGAATTTTACCAAATTTTAGCCATGTTGTTAAATCTACCCGTTATACGTGTAAAACAGGTGGAACTTTACCTTTTTGTCGTCTCACATAAAGGACTAAACCAGGAAAATGTTCAAGGCTCTGAGATTGTTCTCAATTGGTAAAATTCTATGATGGATTACATTTTCTAGGTGGGTTTAGTCCCATTTTGATCCCTCATGAGCAACGTCTATGATTGAAACATATTCAAAATTGACTGATTGCATATGCTAATCTCTTGGAAAACTTATGGTATGGGTCCCTTATCTGAAAGATCATAGCCATACGTACGTTAAATATCAGGTAAAGTTGTAAATTAAGTTAAACCAAGTTAAAACTTACTTGTATTAAAGCGCAACATGCAACTGTCATTCCAACGAGGTGAAGTGAATTTCTAATGCTTGCAAATGCGTCCGAAGCCGAATTTTAAACTGACTCCATGCAAGTGAGTTTTAAACGCATTTCAACCTGTTAAATCAGGATTCTTTAACTAGCATTGCTAGTCACGCCACATTATCATAACTAAACTATTTCAGAGTATCCAATAAAAAAAGCAGCAAAAAGTAGCACAAATTTAAAAGACTCAAGTTTTGACATCGTGAGAAACAGCTTCCATTGATGGACAGCGAACTCGGAGGTGAAAAACCAAAGCAAAATACTGTCGTGCTATGGAAGAACGCCATATGAACATTCAAGAGTTGCCAAATTGTCTTCAATAAAATGTTCATTTTTGAGGAAAATTATGAATATTTTTCTTTGAAATTTTCAGACGTCCCAGATCAAATTATAGACAAAATTATTTGAGAAATCGGTAGACAAATATTCAACAATTTTCTTAAAAATTAATGATTTTCCAGGGGTCATTTGGCAACGCCTGAAGGCTCATACGGCGTTTTTCCCTGGCACGGCAGAATAGCAGTCAAGATATTCTTGAGAGTTACAACCTCTCACCTTAATATCGAAAAATTTTAAAAGTTGAAGCAATCTAGTCCCATCCATTTTGCCCATTAAGAAAAACCGCGTATCTGGAAGGATTTACCATTGGCGTTGCTTGGTTTGTCCGGGAAAAACTCTATGATCGGAGATTATGATAAGAAGAACGACGGATGCGACCAGCCGGAGTTAACGCGCTTAAAAAACCATCGCATCGCGTCACTGCGTGTATTAGTAAAGCATCTCGAGACGAAAATACCAATTTATCTCATTAAATTTTGGCAGCCGTTCCTCTGAAAACGCTCTCCGAGAACCGGTTCTCTTAGGTTGAGGCCTGTCAAAGACAATCTGGATTCCTGTGGTGGTCTTGACTTGAGTCCCGTTCCACCAGCCGTAGTTTTCCGTGATCGGTCCACTGCAGTTGACCACTTGGATTCTTCAGCTAGACAGAAACCACGGAAAAAAGATCTGAATTTTGGGTCAGGGGATAATTTCTGAGATTGGGAAAGCTGATAAAAGTTACAAGAAGGTGTCTTTAGGCCGAAAAGGCCATAACAATAATTAAACATTTTGAAAGAAATTACCTGATTTTTAAGACAATTTCGGGTCATAGGCGGGGCTAGACTCCATGAAGTGTCCATGCTCTCAAAAAACCATTAACAGTGGTGGTGCATTAATGGAACTTCTGAATAAGGTTTTAAATTAAATTCATCGAAAAAAAATTTGAAGAAAATCATTGAGGTTGAAAGCATATCAAGCATTCTGGGGGACACCCGTCGATCTCTATTCGAGCTTATGGCGATAAAAGAAAATTAAGCTTTGTTCCAAACTCTGAAAGTCCACCCCCTTTCCATTCAGTAAATAATACGCAGTAATTTTAGTTTTCTATTTTTCGTCGATCCTTTTTGGCCAAAAGAAAACTCGCACATAATATTCAACATTTCTCGATGAGGTCATGAAAAGGAGATCTCTCTTTTTGAGGAACTTACATTTGAATTTAATTTTCGGTAAAATGGAAAAATTTATAATTAAAAAAAATGAAACGTTTCAGCTTTTGTTCGGAAACTTAAAATGGAATGTCCGACGTAACACTCGAGGTGTGAATGAATTCGTCTTATGATCCATCAAGTCCTCTAGCAGATTAATGGTTCAGAATTCTGATAACCTTTTGAGATTTTTGTTGAATATAGGGTAATTTTTCGGTTTGAATGCACTCCGTTTGGGTAATGATTACATGCATTACCGACGGAAAAGAATCGAAGAAGAGATGACGTTTCACGATAAGAATGATTGATGCTTCGAACGGGGCAATGAAGCATGCACTCTAACATATCTCCGCGGAACTAGCCATTCAATTTTTCTCACGAGAGAGCAAGTGTACAGATTCTCCTTGTAAAAAGCCGTTCACTATCTGAGCTGGCTTTCTTGTTTCTTTTGTATTTTTCCCCCCATTAAATCCACCGAAAAGTGACTCAACAGTGCTCAATGTCGGGAAAGTAAACAAATTAGCCGCTCAATAAATCTCAAACGCAGCGTAAAAGGGTTTTGACAAGAGCAAGAGGACGCTACCGAACAGAGGAAAAATTGACAAAATATATATTCAATTTAAAGCAAGGCGTTTGTGGGAAACAACAAAGGCTTTATAAAATGGTGTTTTACATTCGTTTCACTCCACTTTTTGTCTCAAAAACTGGTTTTAGGAGTAGGTATCTTATTTGTTCCCACTGGTTACCCAAGAGCAGTGATGGAATAGGATATTTATGCATGCAAATGTCTGAATTATTGCCCAGCGCCAATGTGTCATGGGTCAGGCGGTTGAGTGGATCAGTGGCGAGGCGTAAATGATCGATTATCGATATTTCCTCATTTGAAGCTGTGGTAAAGAATCGATTATTGAGGTGTTCGTTCCAAACACCCTGTTTATCGATCCTTTATCATATGTTTAAATGACAGACTGATCGATAAATCGCACAGCACGCCACGCTAATGGAAGGGATCCGACCGAGAAAACACGAGTGCCAACTGCCAACTGCTAACTGCTCCACGCTGAAGTGATCGGCGTATTACTCTGAACTACTCTCGCTTTTCAGCCCACACAGGTGACTAATCCTAACACTTATGTCTTGGCAAGACCACTGTTCACTTTCGAAAAGTTTATGGTCACTATCATCTTCCTCCGAAAAAGTAAGGAGGTCAAATAAGCAGTGATGAATTGTAATACTGGAAATCAAGGGACATAGTCATTTATCATTTTGAGCAACTGTCAAGAATGGAGAGGGAAACATAAAAAAGATTATAATTCATCTCAAGAAGACCTCTGTTTCGTCCCCAAAAAATTCAATCGATAAAGCTCAGCCACATTGAAACTGAAAAAAAGGTAAGCACAGCAGGAGAAACCAATACATTTTTATTTTGAGCCCTAATTGCGCTCTTTTAAACCCCAAGCCCCGTGATTTGTCTGGATGAACTATTGAAGGCATTCCAATCAGAAAGAAGAGCGGAGTAACGTAGTCAGAATTGGCTAATGCCATGCTTCAGCAAGAATGAATTTGGCCACGCAGCTGCATGCAACTATTAAAACTCCTAAGCCGCATACATTGCCTACTTGAATAATTGAAGGCGAACTGAACGGAAGGAACACGAAGCTCTGCAGGCGAGCGCAGTACCAGTATAATCCATTTTAACACTTGGTCTGGCATGAGCCTGACTACAATCAGCGACAAATACCGTACATTTTTGAGTAAAGTGCTAATATCAGAGCTCAATATAGCCATCACGAAAATAGGGTGACTGTTGTTGACGAATTGTTGTCGAGGAAATGTTTTATCCCCGTTGTAAAAGTTTCCAAAAGAATACATGGATGACAGGGCCCATGGAAAAATGAACATAGTACCTCTTGGTTTAATACACCTAAATAGGCTCAGGTGTTAAGAGTTCCTATTTATCACATCCACCGTCTTGTCAGAGTCGACTCATCCTAGAGAGGAATACGAAGCAAGTGCATTACATTGTTGTATTGTTTTTCACGCTCCACCAATTTGTCTATTTATAAAGATAAAGCAGCAGCCCACCTAAACACGACTCTCTGGACTTAAGTTTAACTATTTACGCTTTTTAAGAATTTAAATTGTCGGGTGGTTCGATGATCTAATGACGTATTGCTAGAAGAAGACAGTGGCGTAGAGTAATAATTTTATCATGGGGAGGGGGTCCCTAGGTAACATATTTTTTAAAAAAGCACACAAAATGTCATTTTCATGTTACATTTTTCCTGTTAGTCTAGGAAGGGGGGGGGGGTTAGACCCCCCCCCCCCTTAGAGCCCCCCTCCCTTTTTCCGCGGATATGCAACTGAAGGAGATATTTCAGTGACGGTGCTTTCCAAGATTGGTGTTTTGCTCAGAGGAGCACTGTAGATAAACAAAAGATCGGATAGCTATGGAATTCACTTTGGATCGGCAGGGGGGAGCGCACACACCCTAAAAATTCTGAAAGCTCATCATTTTTGACTTCTTCATGGTGAGAAAAAGTTCATCTTGAGGCCAACGGCCTCAGTAATTGCACGCCGT